GAATAATAGCTGCAAGGCAGTCAAAGGAAAGCAATGCCGCGTCCCACTGCGTCTGCTGCGGTTGTGTGCCATGATTTGGTGCAAAAGTCAAAAAAGATGAAGAGGCAGCTGATGGACGGAAACTAACTTCCGTATAATACTTTTAACTTACTTTCATTTGCACTGACAATACGAAATATGTATATATGTACATATACATACACATACACTTGGACTAAATTAAATTTCTTGGAAATTTTCACTTTTCTGTTTAGACGTACATTAATACTACACTAATGTAAATTAGAGAGGTCCAAAAACAGTAAAGTCGGAATCTTAAATGCCGCCATTCCATAGGATTGTTCTGTACCAAAAAAAAAGTATACCCCTACATTATTTTATTTTGAAATCAAAAAATATTTGAAGAGTGCTTAAAGCGCTCAAAGTTTTCCATGTATTTTATATAGGAAAATACAAATTTTCGTAGAAATTGTATAGAGTTATTGAAAATCAATATTTTTTGATCAGAAAACCCTGTTTCTCTTTAGGAGATTTCCAGTAATAATACCCAATTGTTCATTTAATCACATTTTCATTGTAACTATATTTTACAGGTCCGCCAAAAACCCCCAGCAAATGCAATAAGCGAACCAATAAAAAATGTTTAGTATTATAAAAGGGTTCAATAAACAATTGGATATTATTATTAGACGTCTCCTGACGAGAACCAGAGTTTTCCATCAAAAAATATGGATTTTAAAAAATTGTGTACCATTTCTACGAAAAGTTTTTTTTTTCCATATAAAATTCATGGAAAACTTTGAGCACTTTGAGCACCCTCAAAATATATTTAGATTTCAAAAATCGAAATAGGGGTATTTTTTTTGTATAAAAGAGTCCTCGGAGGTGGCGGCATTAAAATTCCGACTTTACTGTTTTTTGGACAACTCTAATGTTCCTGTGTATATCTATATGCCCAACTTTTGATATCTGATTTTTTTTAATGTTTTTTTTCGTAGTGCGTAAGTTTGAACATTAAGTCACTTTATGTTGCCACACTTCTTTCGCCTCAAACACGCGCTCATCGTGCGTTTCATTTTTCTCCCTTTAATTTATTATTGTTTTCTGCCTTTACAGTTTCTTTGACTTGCTTTAGGAATACTGTTGCAAACCTCCTTTTTGTATGAACGGATGTAGGCACGCTCAGTTGCCGTTAGTTATAGGGCTAATGATATGTTCAATTTATTCTACAACTTATTGTGTGAAAAAAAAATATTTTTTGGATTTTTTGGATTTTAATTTCCTTCATTACGTCAGAAAGAATTTATTACCAAAATATACTTATATAAGTGCATGTATGTATGTATATGTATGTACATTATAAAGTAGTTATTTAAATATACGAAAGAACCTCTCATTGGGAAGCCATTCTATTCGCCAACAAAATTTTTCACAAAAATGATTTGGAGATGGATTTCCATAGGTTTATTCCTTAGAATCAATATCTTAATTCAAAATTAATCAATTTATTTCCAGTTTTGAGATATTATTATCTAATGCTTCTTATTTGCCACCATATATTCGAAGCAGACACGATCAATTTGCATTGCTGAAGAACCTAAGCCATCGAACAGCTCTTTGAGATGTGCCGACTTGAGTGCTAATTGAGCTGTTCGATGACATATCAACAACAGGTTTAGTTGCCGTTCCTGATGAGACAAAGGCAACTGCAATATCTTTTTGCAAGCAAATCGTGACCAGAACCAATATGATCAAAAAAGTTCTTCGTTTTCCACCGGGAGCGTCCAAGAAGAAGATTCCTCCAGTTTTATCATTAACAACTTTCGTAAAAGTATTATACGCCTTTCTTTACAGTCTATTTATATATACGACAGCGGACCATTCCTGCGAACTGATTCTATTGATTTGTCGCTGCCAAAACTGGGCAATGTAATAGAAGGTGGTCGCTCAGCTCATTGTAATGCCTGCTCACCAGTGAGCTACACTCTTTGACGATGTCCTGTTTTTAGATGAAAAAAAATCGACATATTTACCCACAGCATTATCGAACTATATGTTGACGAATTTTGTCGATCATTTGTTAATCACTTGTATTATTACAGATAAATTTATCTGTGAGCAGCTGTCTCCCGAGATGCGCAGTAAATGCAAACGGATAACAACTGTGGCCCATTTATTCAGTCGGTTTGTACGAGTACAAAATAGATGCCAACAGAGAATTGATGGCAAAATATTTAACCAGAAATCGCTAAAACGAGGAACAAAATTTTCAATATATATAAGTGAAAAACCTACAATATGCTATACATATTAGGGTGCTCCCTAAAAATATCAATATCTAAATTTTGTATTAGGCAACCCTCCATTTTGTTTTGCGTGCAAAATAAAGTCGTCCAGGAAAATTCCTAAATTTTAGGGGTCACTACCAGAGTTTGCAAAAATAAGATTTTTTTTTAAAAAATTGCAAAAAACATTTTGCTTTTACGAGCTGTAGCTCAGCGTATTTAAACTTCTCAATAGCGACTTAAGTTATTCATAAAAACTCAGAAATTCGCTAAGGCATAGCTGGGCAAAGTCAAAGTTTTGTCGAATTTGTGCAATAAAAAAATGTTCAAACCCTGGTAAGGATCATAAAGGCTTTTTTTTAATTTTGGAATATGCGCGGATGTCTTTATATTTTTAGGTAGGGCCTTATAAAAGGTTGGCAAATGATGTTGAGAGTTAAAGGATCACCCTTTGAAAACGGTTTTAAAAAACGGTATTTATTGAGTATTTATTGAGAATCTATCACGCAAACACGCTTAGATACTACATACATATATAAGTTTAGTATATATTTTTAATTCAACCTGCAATCAAAATTCATCCTTTGGGAGAAACGTTTGTTTAGAAATATCTTTTGAGAGCAATTAGAGTATGAAAAAATTTCCTCACGCCATCAGCGTATCATCTACTAATTAAGCGTTTTCAGTAAACTTACTTACACTTACAAAGTATGCATGCAAACTGCACAACATTCACTTTTGTGAAATGTGCGAAAAATTTTGCAACTCCAACACTCAGGCAACGCCACCACAGTCGCAACTCGACTCACACACACACACTTGTGCTTTGTGCAACGGCGCCGCGCTTCGGGAGTTTATTGCCGGCAAGCAACCAAGTGACCCAGTTTAGTCGATAGATATTCACTATTCGCTATTCGTTGCGAAAATTAAATGCCAACAGACAGCATCAGCAGTGCACTTCGCAAAGGAAACAGCCAACATCAAATGTAGAAAGAAGCATTCCTACAACACTCGCATTTGGCCATTCCGCATTGCTGCTTGTACCCATATATGTATGTATGTAAGTATGTAGATTCTTGCATAGAAGACTCAACGTGGTTAGCGTTTCTGATTCTGGTGCTCGTGAGCTTGCAGCAGCCTGCAAATATTGTAGGCACACCACAATGAAAAAAAATCCCCACAACAAACAGTTATAAGCAATAATAGTCAGTGGAAATACAAAAGTCAATAGCAAATGCGCCGCTGAAGAGTGAAAAAGCAAAAGTGAAATATCGCCGAAGAATAGTGAAATGCTAAAATGGCGATATGCTTGAATGCTTCAATGACAAATCAGCAGTTCAGGTTGCAGCTATTATGTCGTTGTTGTGTGTCATGTTGCAATCGAAATGTGCAACCATCATCAACGTTGTTGCGCTGATGCTGCTACACAAGCACACACTTACAATCGCACTTGCACACAAGCACTCTTACGTGGCAATAACTTGCATACTCAGCTCAACTGTCCTACATATTTGAATGGACAGCACTTGCGCGCATGCAAACATACGTACATAAATATGTAAATGCAGGTGTACGTGTGAGTACTTATATGTACACATTTTTATTTGTGAAAGGCACAACGGCGCATCGAATTTCAGAATGCATCGGTCGGACGGTTTGCACAATCATTGTCTTTTTTGTCGTTTGTGGCCTGCCTGTTGCAAAAACTGAAACGGTTGCAAGCCACCCAATTGGAAATGCCAAAACAAACAAAAAAACACAAAAAGGTATTGTGAGTATGTGAGTATGTAGTAGTGTATCATTTGCTTTTGCCTTTGTTATTCTTCTGTTATTTTGCTCATCGTTGGTTTTGTACATACAAACATACATACATATATGTATAACAAATGCAGAATTTATTATGGCTTGTTTTACTGGCTGCAATTAAAAAATATCGCTAACTAAAATTTGTGTCTTATTCAAAAGAGCTCCCAGAAAAAATAAAAAAAAATTGCTTTTTGAACAACATTATTCTATAGAATTTGGAAAATATTTATTTGACTTTAGAAACAGTCTATTTACTCTTGTTTTAAAACCAAAAAAATAATCAGGAAAATTCAATATGAGCACCCAGGCATTTTCTATTTCACAGAAAAATTGTAAATTTTATTTTATCAAAAGGCTATACATTTCGTTTTCTGCGTGTTGATTGTCTGGCATCACTCGCGAAATTATCCTATCCAATTCACTTCACATTTAGGTTTAAGATTCTTAGAAAATATGGCTGCTTTCAGCAAAAGCAAGGTTAGGTTAGGTTAACAGTGCAATTCTGTCTAAGATGGTTGCAAGTCCTTTGAAATACAATAGGTAAGATAGTTTTAAAGATTTTTTTTTTTATTCTGGCACCAAAGTATTAAAAAAGCTCCGTTTCTAAATTGTATTGAATATGTACATTAGGGTGGTCCAAAAACAGTAAGGTCGGAATTGTAATGCTCTCACCCCCTAGGATTATTCTATATCGAAAAAGAGTATACCCCTGTTTTTTTATTTAGAAATCAAAAAATATTTAGAGGTCGCTTAAAGCGCTCAAAGTTTTTCATGTATTTTTATATGGGAAAAATAAATTTTTTCGTAGAAATGTTATAGAATTCTACGTTTTTTTGTTCACCAACGTGAATTTCTTTACCAAGGAACGCAACTTTCGTATTATTATTATTTTTTTCATTTTAGACTCACCCTAAATTTTCCGAATTCCCGACCGCCCGTAAAATCACTACATCTCAGAATGCTGCTTATAGCAGCCGCCCAATGTTCTATCTCAGCACGCCCGCCTGTGTCGATAATCAAAGCAGCTGACGTTGTGGCGCCACACTGCCACCATAGCCAGTAGTCGTCAGGAATTGCAGCGATGAGGAAGCTGTTACAATGGTTTGACGCGCGCCATCGCCCATACCAACACCTCCAACACCGCCATAGTTGCTGCCCATCAGCGCTTCTCGATAGCCAAGATCCTTAGTCGCGCTCGTCTGCTCACTATTCTGCTCGTTGTTTATGCTGGTGCGACGCTGTAACAACTGCAAGCCACTGGCCGTGCGATGCGCTGAGTTGTAGGGAGGCGGTGGTGGTTGGCGATATTCATAGCCATAACTGTTAGAATGGCTCTGGCCAGTAGCTGCTACTGCTGCTGCTGCTGCTGCTGCGGCTGCGGAATACGTATCGGTGGGTGGTGTGCGCGGTGGCAACGCGACTGATTTGCTATGCCGTTGCAGCGTCGAGAAGCCACTTTCCGCCTGCGGCGTCACGCCACCTGCACTGACAGTTGTTGTTGGCAACGACCCGGTGCTGTTGAGTGCGATGCTAGTCGTCGCCACCGCAATCACTTCACCGCGACGCAAAGTCTTTTCGCTGGGTTTACTTGCGGCGCCATACCTGGATTGCAAATACTCTTGCGCATGGATATTATATTTAGACTTGGCCACAATGGGTTGTTGATTTGTTATTTGTTGGTGTTGCTGCTGATGTTGCTGTTGTTGTTGTGACATTTGCTGGTCATCGTGCAGATTTATTGTCCTCGTGGTTTTTATCGGACTATAAAGCTGTCCTTGCTGATTGCCGGCCACACTGTTGGCATGACCATTAATGTTATTGTTACTGCCACTATTGTTGGCTGCTTTATGGGTGCTGTACGCGGGCAGCAAGTCAGGCTGATATTCACCAGCACGTCCGCCACCGCCACCGCCGCCGCCGCCCACGCCCACGCCACTCAGGTGACCCTCGCTGTTTTGCCCATCCGTACGCCATTTACTATTGCCGAGCGCACCTTTGCCACCAGTAGAAATATCCAACGTTGTTGTGGATGTTGAATTGAGTAGACGATTTATTTCAACTGCGGACGGTCCATGCGGGTACTTAATGTGAAGCGTATCTGTGGGAAAATGAGAAAACAGACGAACATCAAAACAATATTTCAATGTTGTAGCAGTGATGCAGTGCAGCTAGGTTGTTTTTTGAATTTCAATTAAATTATGTGACATGAATACTTTCCCCATACCCACAAGGATGCATTTAGCAGACAAAGCATTCAAATAAAAACAGGTAAAGCTAGCAACAAGAGGATCATAGCGCAAGTAACAATGTACCCATGATGCTTATATATCTTCATGCAACCCCTTGCAAATGTTTTTGTCTCACTCTGCTGTTTACAAAAAATTCACTTATAAAATTAACACACATTCATACCAATATGCGCGCATATATGTACATATGGGTCAATCCATGTCAAATCGACCAATGAATGCAATAGTTCTACAAAAGCAAAATAATTTAAAAAAATGTTTTTCCAAAGTTATGCAAAATTCTAAATATCACCACTTCCGGGATTTCGCAAGCGTAATTTTTGAGTATCTGAAATAGCGGTCATCCCCTGGCAGACACTGGCAAACCCCCGAATGGACCCTTGCCATAAAAAGCTTCTTCTGAGGTGGAGTGAAAGTGTATATCTCTATATTTGTGTTACAACATCAAGAATGAGAACACGCATTGGAGGAGAAGCTTGGCCAAACATGCGTAAAACTTTTAAGCGCCAAACATTTATTTATTGGAATCAGATATGATATACTGTTCATCTCAAACAACCTAGGCTATAATATTAAAACTATTTAGAGAAAGCCTTGAAATCTTCGAAAAACTCAACACTTTTATTGAGGCCAATTTAATGAAATTAAAAAACAGGTTTGCGGTGTTTCTTAAATCTTAATTTTTCGTGATTTAAAAAACACCGCGTTTAGAAATAAAAAAAAAACGGTGGAAACCGGATTCTAAAAACCGCGTCTATCGCTCTGGTGCGCGCTGGGACAAATGCTGTTGTTACTAATAAACACAATGCATCTAACATTTTTTTTTAGAAATTATTTCTTCAATAGATGTAGCTTTCGAAACTATAAACAAAATTGAAAACTTTCATTGAGAACATATTTTTAATGTAACTTGAATATTTATAATATTTTAATAAAAAAATCATTTTTTTCTATATTATAAAAATTTTTCTTAAATTATAAACATTTTTTCTCTAAAGCTCCATTACGCATGCAAAAAAAGTTCATCAACTATCTTCGAATTTTTTATGAGCAAATTAATTAAAAAAAAGATTGCTTTAAAATGTAAACTATAAAAATTTAAATTAAAAAAAAAATATTCTCAGAATCCCTTTCACATTTGTAAACCTCTACTCACAAATTTGTACGCAAAAATTCCAAAGTGACTGAAATCCGAGGTCCAGTTGAGAAATTTTCACCCAGTTACTTAAATGGTGTCCGTTCTAAAGTAAACGCGAAAAATTAAAAAAATTAAATAAAAAATCGTATTAGCAAAAATTTTGGCTTGTTTTTTATACATACAATAACTCCAACTGATCTTAAATGATGCTGAAATTTTCAATAAGGTATTCTTTTTAAGATATCAGTTTTTAAATTTAACAAAAAAAAATGCAAACTCTAAATAAAATTATGGCAAACAATTTGTATTTAATTTAATGTTTTAATTTAGAGTTTGCAAAAATGTGTATTTACTTTCAAAGCTTTAAAATTCATATCTTAAACAAACTCTGTGAAAGTTTAAAGATTTTGAAAGATCAGATAGAAGTATTGCATAAACAACACTGAGTTAAAAATTTAATAATTGTTTGCTTTTAAGATTTTTAAATTTCAAAATTTTGAATTTAGAAATTTTTATTTTTCGACTTTTTTTAATTTATATTTTTTTTTATAGCCCCAAATATCACAATTAAAACCAGAACTATTTTTGCATTTTAATAATTTTTGAGATAATAAAAAAATTAGCTTGCAAAATCCGAATATTGTGAAATTTTTTACTTTCGAAAAAAATTTTTTAATGCTTTCCTTTACCTGAACTTTATCCAAATCAAATGGTCGATTCAAATATATTGAGCGCCCAACGTCTTGACCCATATGTATATTAATATGTTCATACAAAAAAACGTCCATTATCACAACTCCTGTCCGTAAATGTTTTTTTTCTACATTTGCATGTCAAGCAAAAATTTATTGTGGCATCTTGTTATATATTAACGCGTTCGTGTTAATGTGTTTGTGTAAATATTTACCCAATATGCACAAAGGAAACATTTTTCAAACTTTTTTCCAATCTTTTACAAATTCTTGATTCTCAGGTGGAGATTCAACATTTTCAACAAGGTTTGACCAAAAGTTGAATAAAGTTTGAATTCAAATTGATATCCAAACTTTTCTCAAGTGGAGAACTGAGATTATTTTCCATACAAAAAATGTGCCGCTTTGTTAGAGAATGGGTTGGTTCTCCAATTGAGGTACACTTGAAAATCAACATTGGACCTTGGAATTTTTATTGGATCTCCACTTGATCTCCAACCCATATGTTTATTGGGATACTATTGCTTATAATTGAACAAACGCACACGCACACATACTCTACGTACAACGATTTTATAGGTATTGTTTAATCAAACATTATTTCCATGATTTAATCTGCACTTAAATATGTAGGTTGCACTCTCTCACATACCTACATACTTATAAACACACACGAGCAAGGATCACGGTTTGCACTCGTCATCACTCTACCCGCGGCCTTTCACGTGTTCGAACTTCGAAATATTTTCCATTATTTAATTAGTACAAATGGTGTGTTTCAAATACTCCATAAATTCGCTTATGATTCAAACATGAAAGTACATATATATATATATCTATGAGGCACAGTATTGTGCACAAAAATGGCACCAATGATTCTTTAAGTGAATTTGCTTGCAAACGAGCCGAAAATTCTGTCTAACCAAATATTACACACATTTGAGTTATTTTCGCAGACACTAGGCTTATTTGATACTACAGGCTCAACTATGCACCAGAATAAAGTCTATTACTTATTACCACTTCAATGTCTGATAGTAATTTTTGTTGCTGAATTTTTTTTTTTTGTGTGTTTTTTTGTTTTAGTGTTTAAACACAATATCGTTGAAACAATTATATTGCTGGAACTTAAATTATGTAATTTTCCTTTTCTGCTTTCAGCTGGTTTTTTAATGCGCAAGACTGTACTTTAAACAAACATTCAACAGCTTCTGCAGCGACTAGTTAATCCAATAACATTGCATAATCGCACAATTGTCTGCTCATTTTCACAGCAACTAAGAACCAAATCAAACATTCTAGAATCTCATTTGTCAGATACTGTATTATAGTTTCATAGCTAAAGGGCTTATGATATGTACCTCGCTTGTTAGCGTTTGTAATCGCTAATAAGCATGTTGTGTAATCGATAGGTACCTAGTTCACTATGCCTATATGCAGATTTCGTACACTCAAAGCAGTCACTATTGATTACGAGTACTGGATTAAAGTTCGAAAAGCGAAATGCTGGACAATATGCGAATTTCACTGAAATTATTGCAAGTTTTAGTTTCAGCAGCTTGATTTGTTGTAAGTTCCATTACTACTGCGATTATTTTCATTTGGCAGGGACTAGCGACGACTCCAACAACCGTCCTGACCTCTTTTTTCAAGTCTACAATAAAATCTAAATACTAAAAGAAAATTCAGTTAAAAGAAAGAAAAATTAATTTAAAAAAAAACATAAGCTTCTACAAACTGAATTAAGTTAACAAAATACATACTTTTCTTTTCAAAAAAATATAAATATAAAAAATAATATATAATGCAAAGAAAATTAAATTTAAAAAAGAAACACATTTTATTATAAAAAAAAAAAAAATCCGCTATCCAGAGATTCGAACCTAATATCTCAAGAATGGCACACCAGTTCTTTGCTCACCCGGCTATTGCGATTATTGGAGCAGCGCGAGCAAAATGATGTACAAGTGCTTTCTTTCAAAAGAGCTTTCCACCACGAAAGTTGGCAATAATCAAAATCTTTCAAATTACGGTCTTTCAATTGTCCTACAAAATAATTAAATAATTGCAATTACCTTAGTCATAATGCCCCTGAGTGATTGATTGAGTTTTTCTTGGGCGACCCAAAGCCAAAATAATCGAGAAAAATTCTTCAAAGTCGCAAATAAGAAATGGAAAAAATAGAATAAAACTGATGACAATAAAAGCCCACATTAGGCCAGCTATGAAGGCTGTGGAAAGAATTGGGCTTCATATTTTCCATTTGTTACATTTTTATACTAAAGCTCAATTTATGCTCATTATTTCATAAATTTAAAAAAAAGCGAAAGCTACTGTCTTCTTTAGTAAGAAAATAATTACCTCCGTCCATCAAGTTCATTAAATCAAACATGGAAATATTAAAGAAAAAATTTGTTATAATTTTGGGAATACCAAATCGACTGCATTAATTCTAATGCCATGAATTATGTGAAAGACGAAAATTACAAAAATCAAAATTAATAAGCCACTTGCGTATTGTAATCGCGCTGGGAGAGTGGGTAACCACAGGAGGGCAGCCAAAATTGCAGACGCAGCAGACACATACATATAAAATTTAGCTTAATTTTTTCATCACCACAATTACCGCAAATCGATTTGGCGCGCAGACGAATGCCGATTATAGCTGACTGAGTAACTCAGCAGCCCCACTCACTCACCGCCCAGCGGCCTACGACTGTCTGCAACTAAATTACACTGAAGGTCGATTGCCTAAGTGGTTGCTCTGCTCGTTGTTCAACAGCTAGGCCATCTAGCTGTTTGGCTGTTCGAAAAGCCGACTTGTTGGTTGCAAGCAAGGACTCTGAGCTATTTCTAAGTGATTGCCAATTCCTCCCTAAAGCATTATTCTCAAAATAATTTGCAAAAATGTTATCAGCTGATGAAATCCACATAAATTTTCAAGGCTTGCATGTGCTAAGTGCACACATCGTACGAGTATACTATTTAGCTGGTAGAGCGACAGCAAACGAGTGCATTA